TGGTGCCCTGTGTCGATTAGGGGCAGAAAGCTTCAGGGCCCAGGTAGTGAGTACCATGTAAAAGGTACAACCAAGGCTTCTTCCGTTGGAGTAAAGGACGGTCGCCCTGGTGGTCTTCTTCGGTCCCCAGGGCTGGACCCTTGTCATGACGATAGCTTTTGCTCTTGCTGCTGGGAACGCAGCTTCAGGAAGGTGGGAGCCAAGTGTCAGTCGCATGTGCCATGGCTATTGTTGGCGTGCGAACCAGAATCTTGCACTACCGGACTCTCCAAGTAGGTACATAGTCTTGCATGTGCTCAACTTCAAACCAGGCTCGCCCATGTACCAGTTCTGAAGATGGAACAAGGCAACTAAATCCGGGAGACAAAAGGATTTGCTCCAAGTTGCAAGGACGCACGAAATTTGGGTTTCTGGGTGCTTGGGCTTGCGGTGAGGGGAACCATGCGAGAGACAAATGATGATATGCACGGCGATTGGTGGCGGCGGGTCAAACAGTCCAGGATGAGAACCGCACAATTGCTTTCGCAACACGTCCAGTGAGCGGTTACGAGGCGGTCAGGTCAAACCCCCTTGTTGTTGCCTGACAAGGTGTGAAATAACAATGTGTGCAGGCTTGGAAACATTGCGAAATAGATGCTCATCGTCTTAGCCGGGCAAGCCGACAGCGACGCTGGGAAAAGCGGTGAAATAAGTCAGTCAAAACACCCGAAGATACGACGGCCAGGGGCCGGCTTGGCTCGCAAACTGGGACTGGGCAGACGTGAAGACCTTGATACGAGCAGGAGAACTGCCTTGCTTAAGAGAGAAGATAAAGAAAGGCCGTATGGGTTCGCCGCACGATGCAGGGCTTGGTTCGCCCAGTGGTATTGATTGCTGGTGACGAACTCGAGCGCGCCATCTTGGGCGCAGATGACACGGGAGACGTGGGCCGAGGACCACAGAAGCGGGAAGAGAATTTCAAGGTCAACAGGATACTGAATCAGTTATGATAAGGCCTCGGTGCCTGATGGCTCTCATGTTCAAAAGTTTGGTGACTTGCCAGCCACGGAGGTGATACGGCGAAAAGGCATGGCCTTAGGTAGCTGGGATGACATGCGAAGGGCCATCAATGGTGCCGTGCAAGCAGGCTTGCAGATCAAGTCTCCGAAATAACATGACCTGAGTTTGATCGTCTCGGCAATGAAGGGCACTGTTGCTGGTTACCCCGTTGTCGGCCAGATGGAGAAAATGTTCGGAAGCCGAAGCGGCTTGGACGACTTAGGTGTAGCTAGCGATGATGCAAGGCATGTAGGTTGTCATTTCTCCAGGGATAGCTGGTCCGCCGCCGCATCTCTGGCTCCATGCTACGCGAAATGGCTTGAATCTGCGTGTTTCATGGTCTATCGACATGGCTGGACGCAGGGTACTCGTATATGCCTGGAATAGCCTCGGAAAGAGCTTGGCTAGTCGAAATCGCGGGATAAGGTGCGAATGGTCGAGTCTTCGATTGGCGCTTGCCACCACGAAATCGCAGTACAAGATGCCGCAGGACAAGGTTATGCCAGTTCCGTGTATGACGAGACGAAGCGTCTGCTTCTGTGGGTGCTCGTAGATCCATGTCGTCAGTGTCAACCCAAAGACTTACCGAGAGAAACGAAAGGGAAGTTTTATGAAAGTAAAATTTGTGGGCAGAACGCCTGGCATCTGAGGTGACATGGTCAGTAAAAAATCAACAGGCAGCCACCATCACCATCCGTCCGGCATTTTACACCTACCGCCTTTACGATGCAGACAGGCAAGGCTGGCCCACTCGCCCATCACCTCCAGTGGGGACGAAAACCCCAGACAGCGCCCCAGCTTCCCCAAGTCGTACCTGCCTGGCAACGGATGGGTTGGAAAGTGTGCTGTGGCAGAGCTCCTGCCTCCCCTCCCGCCTTGTGGAACCCCACCGAGCTACCTAGGTACCTAGTTCAGGCGTATGTCAAGGACTCGTCGAGGGTGGTTCAGTTCCACATACCGTAACTTGGGTACATTAACTCAGGTGCCGGGTTTTCTCCTCCCGATGTCTTCCCATCCATGATACCTCGTCGACAATCGACAATGCCAGCGGGCGTCCACGCGGCACGACTCGGTCACGGTGTCCCAGGAAGAGGCCGGATTGGAGGGCCTGACATCGCCGATGACAGGAGAGTCGGTCGCGTCCAGCCCTCTGCCTCCCCTGGCCGCCCCACACATCAGGCCGAACAGTCATGGAACCACGACAGCTGGCCATGCTCGCCAGGGGACATCGTAGGGCACTTCAATTTATCCGTGGACAGCGGTTGTACAGCGATTGACGCCGCCACCGAGGATGGCTGCGTCTACACATGGCACCTACAGGGTTCAACCCACCTATGCGCCTAGTCTCTACTTAGGTACCTTACCTTGGGTCAAGGTACCCAGGTACAGTAAGTACAGCGCGCTCACAAACTCGCGACCTCGAGGCCTGGTTCTACATTATACCATCTTGGACCCTGAGGAAGCTGCCACTCCCTCTGCCGGCAGAAACGACCGCCGCTTCACGGTACATGGTCAAGCAGAAAACTAAATTCAAGAAAACGAAACTTTGTATATGCCACTGTGCCCCCTGCTAACACGAGTAGCCAAATTGCGCAGGCTATCTCATGTCCTGTCCTGGTTATGGTGCAACTGATGCCTCGAAAGGGTGTTATCCTAGGAGATGACGAGTATCTCAAGGTCACACTTACTGATGATCTCTCTCCCCGTGCAACTTGCATAAATCTTGCACCAAACCTCTACGGCGTTGCACACATTTTGACTCGCTGGAGTCCCTCGTTTTTCTATGCGATTCGCTCCGCTAGAAAGGAGTGAGTGATCCTGAAGCCTCGGAATTGGTAGCCCGTCCGCGCAGGGACTCGACTAGGAATGATCTGCCCTGCGGCCTATCGAAGGCGCTGGCACCGCTCACTCACCGCGATAACTTCACGCGATAACAGAGCCATATCGAGTCATGACGATAACCATGTCGTCTGCTATCAGAATCGGCGCGACTAAAGAAGCCAGTCAGTCGCTACGCCCGAAGAGCACAGAGATAATATCCCGCGAATCGGATTTCAAGCAAGGTGCTGCATCCAAACCCTGTTGCTGTCCTGGAATCAGAGCTGTCACACCAGTTCTAGGCATCCACCACAGTACATGTAATACTCCAAACTGCCAGTGATCCGACTTGGTCCATAATAGACCGATCCTTATTGAGATGACGCAGTACGGTCATGGATCAGCATCTTTTGCCTGCTTTTGTTATTGACTAGCAGCAACAACATGCGCACATGGCACTACCTGGTGAGAGCCACATGGCATAATATGACCCCAGACAGCGGCTGTACCTACTGAGCAATAACAAGCGCAATGCTCTCATGCCGATATGATTTTCAACAGTATTTCCATGATCGCAACCGTCGACACCGATGATAATATAGGCAGCCGGCATCGATCAAAGTCCCAGGTCGACTAAATCTCCACAACCCCTGGGGCCTGACGGAACAGTTTCTCCACTTCCAACAAGAGGAGTGATTAGCCGCCAGCTTTCGTGACGGAATTGATTTGGGGAACTCTCGGGGTCCAAGGCTTGAACCCCTTGAACCCCTCTTTGAGTCCAAAAGCAAAGAACAACCATATTTCTGTCCCCGGCTCGTCGGTACGTAGCCCTGTCATTGGCACCAGGGCCGCCGGCTCTGAGAACCCGCTGTGCCATCAAACACTCTGCCATCGCCCTGCGTTCGATTTCAACATGGTATCCACCTCAAATCGGTCGGGGAGTCCTGACATTTGAGCCCTGAGTGTGGTCAACGACGCAACGGCGGAATATGCTGAGACGCAAGGGAAAACTCTGGCCATTCTACTCACTGTAGCATTGTGGCTAAACCAAACTACAAGGCCTGACCAGGTCTCTGGGATCAAGCCCGAGACACATAATCAGTCAGATTGATTTGCAGATGTCAGATAGATTGACCCAACACTGATGTCTTACTTGACATGTTTGTCAGGCCTATAAAGGGACGTGCAGCCTTGAGCGACTAGCAGTCAAGGTCCGAGTCATCGACGCATCCTCCGGGGGCGAAAACTGACACTCCTCGAGGACTCTACGAGCTTAGGACTCCCCCCGGCCACAAGACCAATTTGGGAACGGACCACTTGACCAGCCGCGGAGACCTATTGTCAATGAGATCGCCACATGCTGTCGTCAAGCTTCAACATATTGGGTTGTCTCTATCTGGCCATCGTGACAAGATTGGGATGACAGGCTGTCGCTCGCTGCACCTCGAGTACCACGGCATGCTGCTGGGACAAAGCTTGACCGACATCTTGGGTAGATCAATGAGTCTTTACGGCGCGAATCCTGACCGAGACCACCCAGTTGTCTGCCCAAATCATTGGTCGTCCTTATCTAAGAATGTTGATGGACTCGGTTGGGGCCTGGGAAGCTCCCGATTCGGGCGCTGGGAGAGCACAGTCCGAACCATGCCCAACGGGTAAATGACGTTCACTGAAAGGTGGGTGGGACATCAGGTGCCGTGCCATGCAGCCGACCATGTTTTCTTGCGCGGGCGGCGAGTGCTTCAGGTCACCATCCTTCATTCAACACATCCTTGGCGCCTCCCTCACCGCTAATCTATACCGATCGGAACAGACCGAGGACGGTGGCCAGCGGCATGTGATGGCATGGTAGAGTGTGATAGTCCCCTATTTGCCACATTACATAGTACCCTCTTGAAGCGGCCGCTGTGCCTCTCTTCCAGGATGAGGAGGCGGTCCATGTTGCAATATGGACCCTCTATGGCGGTAGATAACTTGGGTACCTACCGACCGTGAGCAAGGGAAGATTGTGCATGCATGCATGCGCGTGCGGTCCCCAAGCTGCAACCTGCGTGTCACGGCAGGGTAGGTAGGCGACCGACGACGAGAGCAACAGCAGCATTGTTGTGCGTCACGGAGGGAGGGGGTCGGATCGGACATGCATCAACCAGCCAATCCTGCCCGGGGGCTGCTACCACATACCCTCCACCGGCACCCGGAGCAGAGCCGGGGGGAGGCATAGTTTTTGTCTTCTGCATTTGTCACATCTCGTTCAGCTACAAGGTTCGGAACGCGGACCTGTTTGACATAGTTTCCACTGCGCGACCGAGATGCGAATCTTGCGGTACGGGTAGACGGAAGCACATGCCTTGACTTGTTTCGTTTCGATACGTGAGGCGAAAGATGGACTGGTGTGTGGACAACGCATGCATGGACAGACACAGCATAAACACGTCATGCCTGCGAGTCTCTTGTCTACCGTAAGGCATCAATCAACAATCGGCCTCGTGGTAATCACTCCATCTAAGGAGGGTAGAAAGGGGGGGTAAGAAACAATAAGGCTTGGGAATTCACTGCTGCCGCCGACACCAACTAGACCACTCACAACACTCCCAAGGACATGCCGTCGCCTTCTTCGTTTTGCCTGCCGCCAACCGCACTAAGCTATCAAAACGTGCTCGTCGCCAATCGGCTGGCCGCGTTCCTCGCGTCGATCCGGTCCTCGTCATCCTCCTCGGCCAGGCTTCCGCGAGCACCTGCCGCGCTGCCGTGACCTGCGCCCTGCGCATCGTCGGCCTCGCCGTCCTCAGGTAGGCCGGGCATCACGCTGCTCGAGAGGGTGCGGTGGACCTCGGATCGCCTCGGCACGCCGCTCCAAGCATCGCCCTTGGGACCTTGGCTGGCGGCCAGGCTCGTGCGACGCACTGCGGGGTGCGCTTCACGGCCGAGCCTGCTCAGGCCGCCGGAGGCGTCAATGGAGCGAATGTCTGGGCGAACGCTCTCAAGTAGTGCGAGGGTGCGGCGCTCGGCGTCAATCTCGCGGAGGACATACTCGCGAATACTGAGGCGCAGATCGGCGGCCGTGCGTCCGAACCATTTGCGGCGCTCCTGGACGAGGTTCTGGGTGACGCGTGTCGTCTTCTGATACAGGTAGGTTTCGTTCTGACGTGCGTCGTCGAGGGCCGTGATGGCCTCGTCCACCTTCTCGCGGCGTACGTTAGAGCTCGCTTTGAGGCGGTCAGCCGCGTTGAGCTTGCTGCGCGTGTTCTCCTGCGCCTGAATGAACTCGCGCGTGAGGATTTGCCTGTTGGTCAGGGTTTCCTTGACAATGAAGGCATCAGTCGAGTGGTACTGGAAGGGATCTCCAATGGTTGTGGCTTGTGCCGTTGCCTGAGCGGCGTGGTAATCGCCCACGGTCTGAATGACCTTGCCCAGCTTCCGGTAGGCGTTGGACAGGCCAGGGTGTGGTTCCTGGACGTTCATCGCTCCGAGCTTGACTCCAAAGTCCGACTCGGCTAATCCGAGGCCTGAGACGCATCAGTAACTGGCTACATTGTTATATGAGAAATACCAACTCACCTCGGCGGCATTTGACCATCTTGTCTACCTTGTGCCCAGCATCCATGCTGCCGAGATAGAACAGCTTGACGATTGGCCGAGCCTCCTGAAGCTCTGGCGTGTCGTCAGGAGGCGGAGCGAACTGTTTGAGAATCTTGCGGCGCACGCCCGTAGCGGGCTGCTTCTTCTTTACCATGGGGCTGTAGCCAAAGTCGCTCTCGACGAACAGGACCATCTCGTCATCCCTCGTCAGGGTGTCACTACTGCAAACGTAGTTGAACCAGCGCTGCATCAGCGCCTTGACCCTGTTCTCATCCTCGTCTGTGCCAGCGCCTGCCGAAGTCAGCGCCGGGGGTACCGCCGGGACGAGCGAGTCTGGGTTGGCGGAGATCAGATGCTCGGCAAGTTTGACGAATTCGGAATGAAGGCGGCGCACATCGCGGTATTGTGTGGTTCGGAACCTCGGGTTGTTAGTCTGCCGATGGTTAGCAAGACTGGATGACGAAAGATCTCATAGCATTGACGTCCTTACGTGAACATCAAACCTCAAGAGAGGATCCTTCTTCCCGGTCCTCTCAAGGCCTGTGATCTTTGCAATGAGCTTATACTGGGGCTGCTGGGGTTGAGGTGGCCGTTGGCTGTGCTGACCAGACGCCGCTGGCCTGCCAGGTCCCTGACCGGCCGGCAGATGCGGCGCGTCGGAGCCGCCTTGCTGCTGCTGCTCGGCAGGTTCCGTGGCCTCCTGCCGTTGGCTCTCGGGTGCCGACTCGGTGCTTTCGAGGTCCTCAGTGCCGGCATCGGTCCCAGACGCGGAGCTCGCCGTACCAGGCCTCCGGAACGAATCCTGGCTCTCGAAACCGCCTTCTTGCTCTTGAGAGAGGCTGTTGCCGGAGGATGTGGAATTGTAGCGAAAGGGAGACGCTGGAGGTTCACTGCCTAGAACCGAGCCGAAGCCCGTCTTGGCCTGGCGCGGCGAGGAGGCGGGCGAATTGCCCCAGGGCGAGGCTCCAGCGGGGTTATCGTCTTGCATTGATGCACTGTAGTCCATTGTGCGAACTCGGTCGGATTGAGGTTGCGGGTGGTGGACGTTGGGCGAACGAAGGGTGATGGCGTGGGCTTAGGTTAGCAGGTCGAAGTCGGAAGATGCGGGGATAATCGTGATGGCTCGGGCAGGTACTCGGTCTTCAGGCGGTAGCTTTCATGCCTCGAAGACGAAGAGCCGAGATAAGAGTTCCGAGTGTCTCTTGAATGTATTCCTCGCAGTGCCCGAGACGAAACCGTGGGTGCGTTGCTGCGTTTGATGGTGTTTGGATTGCGACTTGGTGCTTTTCTCCGCCTACGTAGCTGCTGCCTCGCCCTGCCTGTCGTCGTCCATGGGTAGTGGGTCGGATTGGAAGGTCGGGTAAGCAAGGTAAGGTAGGTACAACGTGGGGATGAGCTTGGGCCATTTGACCCTAACCCGGACGCGCGACAGGTACAGCTGATAGCGCTTACCGACAGTGAAGAGAAGACAAGCTCCGACCAATGACATGACGTCGTGTCTTGCCAGTTCTTTCGTCGGGAAGGTGAATTCGATAGCAGATTGAAGGGCACTGGCGACAAGCTGGAGAATCGGTGACGAGAAAGAAGCAACCAGGTCGACGTTGATACCCTGAGCCATGGCGCACATGATTAATTCATTGGCGACAGCCGCGCAATTACATCGTCGAACTTCTTTCAGCTCGCTGCCGACAGATCTCCAGGACATCATCCTCTACTCGACACAATGCCTGACGCAGGCTGCCGGCATGCTCCTGGAGTTGCCGCAGTCCACGACAGCCCAGGCCAACGTTCTCCTCGCCCGATATTGGCTAGTTGAGCCTCCCATGGCCTACGAGTTCAGCGTATGACACCCCTCTTTGCCTTGCTCTTAACTTTGCACTGGAGCTGACAAGACGCAGGATGCCTCGGCAGCTTCCCTTTACCTTGTCGCCAAGATGGGCTCTTTCCCACGATCACAACGCGACCTCTCTAACGTATACGCATATCTTCTCTCACCCGGTTCAGCTTTCTTTCACGGCGGCAAACCGCCAGCAGACCAAGACCCGACGGCCTACTACCAACCCGAGGACGAATACTTTGCCTTCAAGAATCGAATGCTCGCCATCGAGGCACGCATACTCTACGCCTTGTCCTTCGACACGCACGTGTCGCTACCACACCCCCTGGGAGTGACATATCTGCAGACGCTGGACTTTCTAGGACTGCCCAAAGGCACGATTGGCAAGCGCACGATTGAGTACCTGAACACAGCGCTGCTGTCACCGCAAATGCTCTACCTGACACATCAACCCAACGCGCTCGCCACGGCAGCAATATACAACGCGGCGAAGGACCTCGAGGCCAAGATGCCGGAGTGCGAGTGGTGGGAAGTCTTTGATGTCGATCGGGAGGAGCTTGGCTTTCTCGTGGTCGGCATGCGGAGCCTGGAAGGCTGGGTCACGCAGCAACAGGAGACATTGCCCAGTCTCGTGTGCGAGGGCATGGTGACGAGGGAAAAGGTGGACGAAGAAATGAGGAGGAGGGGCGTCCATACTGGGAATGGCGACAAAGCCCTCGATAAGGAGGAAGAGATGATGCGAAAAATGGACGCAAAAATGACAGACGCATAGCAGTCCTCTGATCACCGTCGACTTTTTTCTTGTGACGACATTGAGTCTGGCGATGTGCTGACAACAGAATGGAGGACTGGCGGGGGAAGAAGTCAACAGGAGAAGTCAGGCCCATCCCTTACGTTCGCTATCTAAGGCTGTCCATGTCGCAATCTGTGCAGCCAGAGGCCTACCACGACTTGTGGGTATAACTCTGTCCGTCGAGCTCCGTAGAGGTAAGTCTGCTGTTGGAGAAGCGACAATGCCATGAAACATGGTACCCATCGGCTAGCTAACTGGGATCAAACACAGACGGGAAAGCCAACATTACGATTGGAGAAATGCTGTCATTCAAGTATCTTCACATGGCTTGACCAAGCCGAAAGTTTGGTTGGTCTCTACAGGTGGCCTCGCAAGTTCAAACAAGTCCACACACGTACCCAACATAGGGTCAGCTATTGTAATACTGCGGTGGGGTGACCGTAAATGCCAGATCAGGCTCACGCATTGGCCAAAGACTCTGTCCATTTGGCAGAAGGGGCTTACGGGCTTGGAGGTTTTTGCCTTGATTTCATTCACATCGAGGATGAACTAAAGCCATCAGGGGCTTGGCAAGGTTTTACATCGAGGATTCATTCAGATCTGCTATTGGGGGCTAAGGTCCACGGAGAAGCCGTTATCGCCAGAAGAAAGTCGTTTGGGATGATTTTCTTGTCAATCTGTCAACAAAACTCTGCACGATTTTCTGGATCTGGCTCATCAGGAATTTAATAGCCTTGGTGACCTTGCCAGCTCTTGAATTTCGGCACAAATCATGGCGATGCATCTATGGGGGCGCAGGGCGTAGACTGGATCAATGGGATACGGAAAATAAGATAATGTTGCTCAATCGAAATGTTATTAAAAACCATCTCATAGACTAATTTCCCTTTCCTGGACCACATTTGTCAATGTGTTCAGCAGACTGTCGTAAAGCTCACTCAGATACTTCTGGTTGCAGGTACGCTATTGGTCAGCAGCGCCAAACTGACAATTGTCGAAACAACAACAAAAAGAGACAGCCACTTTGAATTTCTATCGCCTGACCTCCACTGCCTCACTCCCCTTATTATCCTGAAGTCCATCACTTCTCCGACGATGGAAGCGATGCGGAGTCCTAGAGATGCCTTGATGGATAAATGCAAGGTGACTGTGACGGATATTAGACTGGATGCACACAAACGCAGCAGCATGCCAACAGGCTCGCCAGCCGGACAAGGACTGCTTGCTTTGCCCAAAGAAGTTTTGGAGACGCTGGGCCGCCTGGCAGCTGACACGCTGGCGCTCCGAGCTTTCAGTCCTACCAATTCGTTAGGTTCAAGAGGGGATGCGCTTGAGCTGCTAGAACGACTTGATCAGGAGCTCGACAGGACTTACAAGAAGTTCTATGAGTTTGTGTACCAAGATTTGCCGTACTGCTGGCGTCAACTATACACAGACCTTAGTCTTCTTAAATTAAGTTGTATCGTCGCCTCATCGCCACTACATGAACCCACGAGTCCAGCCAGTGATGGACCTGCATCAACTCTGCTAAGCGACCGCGACCTCAATCAGGCCGTGAAGGCGCTGGACAAGGCACTGATCCTGGCCGGCGGCGCTGGCATCACGCGTGGGAGGCAGTCAGCTGAGTGCTTCCTGCAGCTTCTTGAGGACGCGGCGGTGGACCACACAAAGTCAGACAACGACAGTGAAACCCGTCCTTCCAAAAGGCCACGGCTGGATACCGGGCCATCATGTTCTGGGTCATGGGATAGCGAACGGTCGTTCCCTGAGAGTCGCATCTTCGAACCAGTCCTTCGACACCCTATGGAAAACTTCCACCAGATATCCATGCAGAAGTTCCAGCAGTACATGGACGAAGGTACCTCACGCGGCCCGAACGGGCTCTTGCCTTTCGTTGTCAAAGGGCTCATGGATGACTGGCCCGCCATGACGACCAGGCCGTGGCGTAAGCCCGAATATCTCCTCTCAAGGACCTTTGGCGGTCGAAGGCTCGTTCCGGTAGAGGTCGGGCGCACCTACGTCGATGAGGACTGGGGCCAGGAGCTCATCACCTTTCGAGAGCTGCTTGATAGGCTCGAATGCCCCGAAGCGCCCAGCACATCCGAGGTCCGCGATGATGGTATTCAAAAGAAGACTACCGAGTCTATCGATCCGAAGCCGGTCAGCTACCTAGCTCAACACGAGCTCTTCACGCAGCTCCCCGTCCTCCGCAATGACATACCGACCCCAGACCTCTGCTACACCAGCCCACCACCACACCCTCTATCTCGCGAACTTGACAAGCCGGAAACGCCACTCCCCCTGATCAACGCATGGCTGGGCCCGGCCGGCACCATCACACCCCTTCATACGGACGCCTACCACAACCTCCTCGCCCAGGTCGTTGGCGCCAAGTACGTCCGGCTCTACTCGCCCCATGATACCGAGGCGCTTTGTCCGCGAGGCGAGGATGACCAGGGCATCGACATGCACAACACAAGTGCGTTCGACGTCGGCGTGATCGAAGGCTGGGATGAGTTACCCGACGGCGAGGAGGCACGGGATGCGATCGAACTGGAGGAGTTCAGGAGCCTGAAGTACTGGGAGTGCATCCTGGAAGAGGGGGACATGCTCTACATCCCCATCGGATGGTGGCATTACGTGAGGAGCTTGAGTGTCAGTTTCAGCGTGAGCTTCTGGTGGAATGGAGATCACTTCATCGCCAACAATGGGAGTGCTGCCGAGGACAGCGCATGATAACAGCTGAGGCCGTCACGACTACTGCCATTATTATACTGGCTGGTTGGTTTGCCAAGTCTCAGGTCTGCGACTCTTGCTTTCAGCCGCCCCTAGACTCGCTGGCGCCGGGGTCCTCCTCAGCAGCGGCATTTTCTACGCTTCCTTGCGCCTCCCGCCTTGCCTTCGCGCCCGCCTTCAATTTCTCCCACTTCTCGCGATACTTGGCCAGCGTGCGCTCCATTTTCTGGTTCTCCTTCTCCAACGCCTCTATCCGCTGCACAGTCAACGCCATCTGCTCCTCAAGCTCCTTGTTCTTCGCCTTTAGAGCCGCCGTATCTTCGATCCCTGGCCCAGAGGGAGGACCGCCAGCTGAGGTGGCTAGTGGCGAAGTTGGCCTCCGAAAACGCATACTCTCTGCGAGCGCAAGGCTTGAGTTCTGGGCACTGGCTTCAAAAGCGTGTAGGCGGCGGCTCAGCTTGTCGAGGACATCCTTAAGACTCTTGTTCTCCATGGCCAACTCCTCCGCCGTCTTGTGAGACCCCGAAGCAAACGACCGGGCTTCGTTGGCGTGACTCATGGTGCCGCGGCCACGGCGCTTCGTGGGCGAGGGGGGTGCAATCGGTGTATCTCGAGCATCCACGAAATCGTCCTCGTCATCTTCGAAACGACCGCTGTCGCCTCCGACGTGGAGCGAGGCGTCCATACGACGCTTTTCCTTGTCGGCAAAGTTGAGAATGTTGGCATATGACATGGTGTGTCCGCTTGTAGGGACCACGTAGAAAGACTCGTTGGGGTTTTGGCCAGACATGGCGCGCATGGTCGCGCGCGAATAGATTTTTGACAGATCCGGTTCGGCTGCCGGTGCTGGCGACTTATGCTTTGTGCGCTTGATAGGCGGTGAGGCTTCAGGGGTCCAGGTTTCTGCAACTTCCTGCAGGGTAGATTCCTCTGCGATGAGGGGCAGTCCAGCGAAAGCCAAGGGAGCGGAAAGGCGATTCATGATAGTTCCAAAGGTGTTGTAGAAACGAGAATAACCATCATCGCTCGGTGCCGCCGCTGTCTCCTCAGCCTCCGGTTCCTTCGACCTCTGTGTCTCCGCTCTCGATGGTCCAGCTGTAGGGGGCACCCAGCCAGGCCTGCCGGATTGATCGAGCACATTCTGCATCTTGGATCTGGATCTTTCGCTGCGTGGCGACACCTCAAGGTTGCCGGGGGCCTGATCATTGCTAACGCTGGGCGGCACCGGCTGACCCCTGTCGCGAGCCTTGATGCCCCTGGCCGAGGCTAGGTTGCTGGCGATTGAAGACGTCATGGGCCTGGCGGCCTGGTATCGCTTGGATTGTAGAAGAGAAGGGACAGGTCCCGTCTTGGCAGGCGGCGCCGTTGCTGGCTGTTCGCCCTTGGATGTCGCATCGTTGGTGATTTCCGTAGCGTTGTTTGCTTGCTTCTCGTCGGATTCTGTTCGCTCAAGACGGCGCACGGGGAGTTTTAGGAGTTCGGAGAGGCGCAGGTGGTGCTCCTCAAGGAGCTTGAGTGTCCTCAGAGCTTCGATGCTTGTCGTGGACTGGGCGGCGTTGGCGAACTCGCCTGCAGCAAGAGTATGTTCGTTGATGGCAACAGTTGTTGACGCATTTGCGGCAGCTCTCGCATGATCGTGCGCCTGTCTCAATGTCAGATTTAGGTGCGGCCGTTAACAGTTGAATTGCGAACCTTTGTTAGTGGTGATTCTTCCATGTTGGCTGGGATCTTGATCGATCGTGTGACGCACCCAGACGGATGACGGTCACATCGATCCAGTGGAATTCGTTGGCAACACTCAGTTTGTTTTAATTCGGCTTTCGATTCTTCTGCGTGTATGCTCGAAGTGAAGTTGTAGCACGGGTTAAAAAGAGGGTCTGTTCACTTGCGCAAAGCGAAAGCGAAAACAAGTTAAAGCAGACAGCCACTCGGTACGTATTCGAGGTTCCGCCTGTGATGCGATGCTGTTGGACACTTTTGGCCGTCTTCGGAATAGACCTTCCCCAGAAATCCCCCCGCAGCTTGCAGCAGCTCAGATGATCGACGTGCGCTTATGATAAGGCGCTGGTGGCGCTGTGTGTGGCAAATGCCATTGAAGCGCGGCAAATCTATGTCGGCTATCCTGTCCAATGCCACCTCTGGATAGCCGCCGGTTCACTCGGTGGTCTGTCAACAACATCTCACGACGAAGCTCGCCAGTGATCGAGATCAAAGATTGAGCTACTGATACTTTGTACGCCGCTCTCATTTGTTGCCGATATTGCTTGCCTTTGAATTTAAGAATCTGCCGGAATTGGCTTGAATGTCTGGCCGCCGTCCGCAATCGCTAAGATCATCTTCGATTTTTCCACTCCGTTGAAGCATCATCAGCCAGACGCCCGATGCTGCGCCAGAGACAACCGAAGCCAAGTCAACAAGAACAAAGACCTAGGGCTTCGATTAACTCAATTCAACCTCAGACTGGGGACCAAAGCCCTATATTCACGATGAGCTGGGCTGAGCAAAACAAATGGGTCGTTCTCGCAATTGCGAGCGGCGCCTGCGCTGCCTTCAACGGGGTCTTCGCTAAGCTGTGAGTTGCCTCAGCCCAACCCATTCTTACTTAGGACCTCACCCACTCACGCTACCAGGACGACTACGCAACTCACAACGACCATCGCAAGCAGTCTTTCTAAGATGCTTCACCTGACCAGCGTTGAAGGCGCCTTTGAAGTTGTGCTCCGAGCCGTAAGCCCTATCTAGGCTCCCGCCACAGCTCATCAATCTAACAACCCCCCTCCTTTTAGGTCTTTTTCGGCCTCAACCTTCTCTTTAACGGCATCATGTGGACTCTGTTTACCAAGGCCCTCGCAAAAGGCAGCTCCACGACGCGCGTGTCCATCATCAACACGTCGTCCAACTTCGTCCTTACGGCCCTTCTCGGCCTTATCATCTTCTCCGAGTCCCTGCCGCCCATGTGGTGGTTTGGCGCCTTTCTCCTCGTGGCTGGCAACGTGATTGTCGGCCGCAAGGATGACTCTGCCGGCGAGGAGGCCACCGATGGCGGGTACGCGGCGGTACCGCAGCAGCCTGCACTTGTGCCGGACAGCCCCGTTGACGAGCGTGGCCCCAAGGTCAACGGGTACAACGACGACGAAGATATCATCGATTTGGGCGATTTGAGCACTGAGGGAAGCAATGGGCAGGGTCGGAGGTAGATTACATCATGTGACTGCTGATGGTGTTTCCATCTGTGGAAGGAGTTTCATACACCTGCTCTAGGTTACGCTACATCATGACCAAGCTGCAGCTGGTTTCACCTGCACAGACAAGATGACTTATGGCACGGAATCAGAAAGAAGGCAGGCTGTGTGTTGACAGTTCAAATTGTAAGACTGATAGAACACTGGGGATGAATACAAACCAATGCCACTGTTGGCGTATGTCTTTGAATAAAGTACCGTAGGTAGAACAAATTCCGATGCGCCGCCCAAACCAATGTACCTAAATAGCAAATCTAATAACTTTCAAAGCGTGAAATCGTACACAATCAGCGGTGCTCAAGCTCCACGCCTCCATCGTGGATATCATCCTCATCGCCGTCCATGATCTGGGTGCCCTGCCGACTGCTGCTGGGCCCGCCAAATCTCCGTGGCTCATCAACAGAACTCAGACGAATCCTGCCACCAGAAGCGCGTGATACTTTGCCGGACACCCACCCCGCGGCCCCGCGTATAAAGGTCCAAAGTCTCTCCTGACCCTCCACAAGGTGATGGTCGACGCGCGGATTTTCGGCCGCCTCGACCTTGAATTGGTACTTGAGGCAGTCTTTGACCGTCACGAGGCCAGCGAGCTTGCCATGGTACTCGATTAGAATGACACGGGGTCCGATCTTGCGGAACAACTCCATCACCGTCTCGAGCTGGAGTCGGGGATGGACCGTGACGGGGGTGCTGTCAATGTAGCGACTGAAATCGACGGTGCTGGCGGGTGTTGAGTCGGGGTTGGCCGATGCAGAGGGCGTGTTCGGGTTCGGTGAGCCATGCGATGCTGGCTGCATGAAAATGCACTTGGTCCGAGGCAAGATGGTCCTTTCTCGTCTGATCCGTTCAAGGGCATATTGCAACTCGGTACGACCGATATAGCCAGCCAAGATTTTGGTCCTGGCATCTTCCACAATGGGAAATCCTTGATACTTGTGTTCTTCCATTAGTTGTTCAATCTCTTCGATCACCATGCCCTCGGCGGGTAAGAAGACGACGGAGTCACCCATAACCTCAGATACAGGGACGCCGAAATTGTGCTCTTCCTTGTTGTCGAGAAAAGGGAATCCGCTGAACCAAATCATGCGATCAGCGATTCCGCCGTGGCCGAAAAGGTCGCTAACTGCTTTCGTGACACCAACCACAATCATGGTCGGCAGGATGTAGGTCAGGGCTCCGGTGAGTTCAAACATGATGACGACCACGGAGACCGTGATGTGCATGATGCCACTCAGGGCGGCAGCTGATCCGAGGAAGGCGTAGGTTCCAGGAGTAATACAAGGCTCGTCAGGCTTGCAAGCGGCAAAGAATACGCTCTGCGGATTCGCCTGGTACAACATTTCAACCAGAATGCCCACGGTCCGCCCAAATGAAGCGCCAATAGCCATGGATGGTACGAATATGCCTGCCGGGACTTTGCAGCCATAGGAGATAATGACCAAGAATACTCTCAGGACAGTCGCTATAGAGAGCGAGAAGACGTTCCACCATTGCTTTTCCTTGTCACAGAGGCCGTGATAATCTTCGCCGCCCTCGCACTCGAGGAACAGGATCTCCATGCTCTCTGTCATGTCAATCCGTAAGAACACATTGGGGTAGCAGATGATGCCCGTCGCAAAGGCGAGGAGAGTTGCCTCGAGTACGGGATACTTGGACAAATACTTCTTTCTGAATGCCTGGTACCGCAAATTCCACTTCATGACGAAGGCACCATAGAGGCCACCGAAGATACCCAAGACAATGTAGAAGAACGTTTCAAAGAAGTGCCAGTCGCGGTCATAGCTGACCTGGAACATGACCAGTTGGCCGGTTCGGAAGGGGTTCATGGCTGCCAAGACAGCAACAGCAACCAGGGCACAGAAGTAGCTTCGCCAAAGGGTCTTTAACGGGAAATAGCTGGACATCTCCTCAAGGGAGAATAAAACCCCGCCAATGGGACTTCCGAAGGCGACAGCAACGCCAGCCGCGGCGCAGGCACTCAGAATCTCCCGCGTCTTCGAGGCGTTGTTCCGGTACTTTGCGAATAATCTCGAAATGACATTGCCCGTGCAGACGGCATAGTGAACACTGGGACCCTCCTTTCCTACGGAGAGGCCCGATGCGATGGCTAGTGGCAAGCAGACAGACTTGATGACCAGGGTCCAGAATCCCAGGAAGCCCTTCATTACAAAGCCGGCAATGATGCATTTGATTTCGGAGATGCCAGAACCTGCGGCGTATGGGGCGAATGACTTGACAAGGGTCGCCGACGTGCATGCGAATATCGTCGCGAAGACGATGTAGAAGAAGTAGTTTGCGGGCCCTAAGCCAGTCCATCGATGCCATGCGTCGCAGCCATTGTCCTCGCCCCAGCAGCAAAAGTTCTCGTTGAGGTAGAAAGCGGTCGTACAGTAGCCCATCTTGATGTCGGACAGCCACTCAGTGATGATGTTCAAAAACGCGGCGTTGAGACCAATGGCTATGCCTATCAGGGTGACAACAAGCCAGCCTTGTGCAGCGTCGTATGACTCCCACAGGCGATACCTCCATCCGGGCATGCCGTTGTCGACAAGGCCAGCCCGGCGACGGCGCCGGGACTTCCTGCGCGCTTGTTCCCGCGCGGCATCTTGAACCCAGTCTATTGTTGTAAAGTCCTCATATCTCTTGATTTCAGCGATCTCTTCTTCAATCTGCTGTTGTGCCGGCAATCTACGTCTCGTGCCCCCGCCCTCTTCGGCAGTGGAGATCGCGAACGATAACCTCGAGCTGATGGACGGCCGGCGACTGCTGAGGTTTGGGGTCTGCGTGAAGGAAGTGGTGTGCGACGTCATGGTGTTGAGGGCACGATCATGTTCGCGAGACGCTCGAATCAGTGTTGACGCTTGAATGACGTCGGTAAGGGCTGCTTCTGCAACTCGGGGTCGATTCTCTGGGGGTTTGGTCGTGGGGGGGGTATTGGCAATTGTTCAAGCTCGAGCTCCATCGAGGCAGCGAGCTGTTCTTTGGCCAAGGGACCTTGACGTACCGCCGATGCACCTACCACCTGGTGAGGTAAAGCAGGTACCCAAGGGGTTCCGGGGGGGGGGGGGATTGCGTTCACTCCCAGGACAGAGCTACGCTGGTAATGAGAGACTTTGCAATGTGGTGGAACTATGGTGCACGTGCTGGTACCTCACTAACCCCACCGCCCCTGGCCCCATCCCTTCATCTCTCACAGCAAGCAACACTTGGTTGATGGAAATGGGACCTGCACACGCACTGCATCGCACCGTCTCGTCATCCTTTCTCCTGCCAATTACCTCCATCAACAACAACCCAACGTCCACCACCTCACCCAGATTCCGCCCTCGCAACCAACCAGGCTACGACGACAACGACGAAGACGCTTTTGGTCGCGCATCTCATCCGTCCATCATCGGCATTTCCGATCAAAAGCATCAACGGGGAAAGCTCGGGCGCCCCTCAACGAGGCTATTGCCCCACGTCTTCACACCCTGATCCGTCCCGGTGCTACACACCACCTCCCCAAGCCGTCCCTCTCCCTCCGACCTCGCGATCAGCTCCCTGACCAAGCAACACATTCCCATCTCCTTTGCTGACGACCTCCACGACCCTGTCCTTGACGACGATCACGCTTACGAACACGCACACGCCCGGTTGCTCCATCTCACCGCACTTTCCCCCAATCGTCTCGAGCTATTGACCTCAAGAAACATGGACACCAACATGGAAGACGCTGGGCGCCCAGCCGAAGTCTCCCCCGTCCTCGCGAACCTGGAGCCAACCACCATACCTACTCTCGATGGATGGATCGAGAGCCTGATGAGCTGCAAGCAGCTGGCCGAGACGGATGTCCAGAGGCTCTGCGAAAAGGTTAGCTGCGCCACTCGTTGAGACCTCAACACACAAACATCGTGATCTTATCGCAAGGACTCGCGTGACCCTTCAGAATGATTGATCTGACCATGAACAACCTACAGGCACGCGAAGTCCTACAGGAGGAGTCCAATGTTCAACCAGTCGTACGTATCGCCACCGCTTCAGCCCGGTCGCCAGCTTGCTGACCCCGCATCATAGAAATGCCCCGTCACAGTCTGTGGTGATATCCACGGCCAATTTCACGACTTGATGGAGCTCTTCAAGATTGGCGGCCCTAACCCTGACACCAACTACCTCTTCATGGGTGCGCCCAAGACGCTTCCTATTTACTTGCGCCCTTGCTGATTGATGGACAGGCGACTATGTCGATCGAGGCTACTACTCCGTCGAGACCGTGACTCTTCTCGTCGCGCTCAAGATCCGCTACCCGCAACGCATCACCATTCTCCGCGGCAACCACGAGTCGCGTCAGATCACCCAGGTCTACGGCTTTTACGACGAGTGCCTCCGAAAGTATGGCAATGCCAACGTGTGGAAGTTCTTCACCGACCTCTTCGACTACCTTCCCCTCACTGCCCTCATCGACAACCAGATCTTCTGCCTTCACGGCGGTCTCTCCCCGAGTATTGATACTCTCGATAACATCAGAGCCCTTGACAGGATTCAGGAGGTTCCCCACGAGGGGCCCATGTGCGACCTCCTGTGGTCTGACCCCGATGACCGCTGCGGATGGGGAATCTCTCCCCGTGGTGCGGGCTACACATTCGGCCAGGACATTTCCGAAGCTTTCAACCACAACAACGGCCTGACGCTCATCGCACGTGCGCATCAGCTTGTTATGGAGGGCTATAATTGGTCGCAAGACCGGAATGTTGTCACCATTTTCTCTGGTGAGTCTGCCCTTAGCTCCATCAATACCAATTCGAAAGCAATGGCTAATTTATGCAGCACCCAACTACTGCTACCGTTGCGGTAATCAGGCGGCGATTATGGAAATCGACGAGCACCTCAAATACACCTTGTGAGTAACCCCACCCGTCTCGCGCCCGCGCAAGCAATACCTGATCTCCCGCAACTGACATTCAACAGCCTGCAATTCGACCCATGCCCTCGTGCCGGGGAGCCCATGGTGTCTAGACGCACGCCTGATTACTTCCTTTGATCAAATCCCATGTATACCCAAATACCGTCGTTTCGTGAGCATTCTGCATGTTCTCCACGGAAAGGTGCAGGCTATGATGACGCGCTGGACCATGGGCCACGTGCGCCAGTACGCGGCCACCCTAGTATGATAGGATCAATCCAAGGGCCAGCACTTGTTTCCAACCGACCCAAAAAGAGCCTTGTATTTGCTGTCCCAATTATGCTGGGAGCGTCACTAGCGTTTTGTCTGCGTGCGGTTCGCGCAAGCCAGTAGATGTTTCACCGCAAGGGCAACCCCCCGGATAATGATCGCTGGCGGCACTTCTAGATACTCTGCGGGTCAAAGACAAGCAGCGCCAGGTGAAGATGCTGATGCCTAATGAGAAGTTTTGTTACATATTACGTCGGATTGATTGTGACGAGAGATGGCTGCTCTGCTCTGCTCTGCAACATGTTCATCCACTTGCATTGTCGGCTGACCCGTAGCCGATCATTCGCCTGACTTGCCAATATTGACAAGTCTCATGTTAGGTGCGGCCTATTCACTCATGTAGACCCTGTATCATCGGTTGGGATCACGTCAGCTATAAAAAAGATGACGAGTTCTGTCTCCTCCTCGCTGCAATTTACAGGTAGGCAGAGCCCTCAAGGGTCTGCAAGTTGGCATCATTCCTCCGCCTACAATCTGTGCCATCACTTAATGTGCCATTCTTCTTTCATCGACCACCTGCGAGTACTTGCTCGTCATGACTTGCGACAGCAAACTGTGCATGGGATTGCCTTTCGATATATTCATTGGTATTGAACAGAACAAAACTTAATCGTGACAGCCCTGCCCGCTGGAGCTCTCTATGGTCTAGTGTGGAGTGGTATCAAAACAGCCAAACGCCTTCCCGTGCTGCAATCCTGCCGACATTTCCACCTCAGACAATCTCGCCGTCCTTTGGAGCAGCAGCCGCCGCCGAAGGCCCACCCTGCTCGCCATCAGCCTTGGACGCGACGGCCTCCTCGCTATCTTTCCGGTCCGAGTAGCTGGGCGCGACGAGGGTGCCCTGCGCCTCCTGTTCCTCTTCCGTGATCTCGCGGAAGCGCTGGTCGAAGCGGAAGATGAGGTAGGCGGCCACGACAATGAGCTCGAGCATGTAGTTGAAACAATAATAGGCCGGGCGCTCGTGGTACCAGGCCGGATCGCCGGGCATGCGACGGGGGCTGAGGATGGAGGTGGTGCGGTAGGCGGCGCCGACGGTCAGGACGGCGGAGCCATAGGCCATGAGCAGGGCAGAGCCGCGGACGGTGCCGGTGCTTCGGTCGTCGGGGTGGATGACGCGGGAGGCGAAGCTACGGCGGGCGGCAGAGCTGGCGGTCGCCTCCTTCTCGGCCTGCTCCTGGTGGTGCTGTTTCTTCATGGGGGGTGACAGGATGGCGACGGCGGCGGCAAAGGGGGCGGGCAGGAAAGCGATGACGACGAAGGTTACGGAGGCGACCTTTTGGGCGGTAAGGCAGTCTTGGCGCACCTTGGGGTCGTTGGTGAAGTAGGTGAGAATCGTGACGTTGACGACCGTCAGCAGCATGATGGGGAGGAAGGGGATGGCGGCGAAGAAGGGGATGGTGGAAATCTTGCGACGCCAGCCTGTCGCACCACGGGCACCGAAGAAACGGCGCATGAGGCGGGGCGAGACCAGGAGGTTGAGGACAAAAATGACGATGACGCCGGCATTGGAGATGATGTTGGCGGCGATGGCGAGGTTTGTGTTGTCCGGCACGGCAGCGTAGGAGATGCGGAGCGTGAGAGCCACGATGCGGAAGACGCTATAGATGATGAGGAGTACCTGGAAGGGAAAAGGGGCGGCCCCGGCCTTTATTCTGGCGTAGGATGAGGATGTTGGATAGTACGCTGGCAAGGTATAAGACGAGGAGGACGGCGGAGACGGGCACGTCAGTGGACGTATTGGGGGTGAGACCCGCCACAGGAAACGGCGAGAGATATGGAGGGCGAGGCTAGATGATGTTAGTCAAGCCAGGGACGACGACGTAAGAGGTTGCGGGTGTCAACGCCCTGGGCGTTGTGGATTAGACGCACCTGATCAGACATGGTGTCGAAGCCCGAAGATGGATAAGTACAGGGCTGATAGGTGCCAAGAGAATGCAAGTATCGGCACAAATATCGTGATGGTGTATCGGAAATGCAACCCGCTGTGCCTTTTGTGTGTACAGGATGCAGGCAAGGGGCCCCCGATCTGCGCAGGAAGTGTTCTAGAAGACACGCCGAAGACGGAAAGGATGTTGGTGATATTGAGGCTGCAACGAGGATGATGATGATGATGATGAAGACTTGGGATCGCGGCGGATATACAGTATGTCCATACAAGTTCGTCGTCAGGGGAAGACGACGGTAACAGGCTATATACCCAGAGCTCTTCATCAAGAAACCCCTTCACTGACCTCCACATTTTGCCGGGTGTCGGGGATTTGTTAAGTCCAGTAGGTGTTTGCCAGGCCCGTTGGCCACGCCTTGCTGTGACATGACAAGAACGTGCCACACAGTTCCACGCAGCGCATGCGACAACAGGCCACTCAAGGAGTGGGCGCTGCGTGCATCGGGCATCCAGGCTCATCCCAAGTTGGACGAAGTGGTGGGTCACTGGTCGTGATGTCGGAGGTCGGTGGTTACGAGCAGCGTCGGTTGCACCTTGTTTGCTGTGAACCAGCGCGACCACGGACAATGTAAGCGCCGGTTGGCCGTGCTGACGCTCAATCGGGCGACCAAGCTCAGCCTCCAGCACTGCTCTCGCCTTTGCACGGGTTCGATCTACGCGCCAGAGCCCGAAAGCGAGCGCAGGCTGAATAATGCTCCACGTGCCAGCTCCCCAAACGCCGGCCTTTGTGGTCGCCGTGGAGTTCAGCTCGCTCATGGCTCACAAAGAGAGATACTCTGAAGGCTCGATTGCTTGGTGCCAGAGAGTGAATGGTGACGCAAACGCCTTGTCCACCTACCAACAATTGTCATCTACTAGCTGTGAGCCCCCCAAAAGACGTGGTCGCAGCAACAAATGGTGGCCATCTTATTGATGTGAGGGTTACCGGGCGCTGTTCCCTCTGTCATGCTGCATTTTGGTCAGTCATACGGCCAGGTGGTGGGCAGGCTACGCGACCAAGCCTCGACCCCGAGGGCTGACTGAAAGGCGTGGGAACGCAGCGCCGGTTGTCAAGCCGCCCAATGGCACCTTGTGACCTCCACCAGCAGGCCATGCGGTAACACGACCCAAGCCCGTGGTTCTGTCGCTCGCTCCCAGGAATGAAGGCGACATATACGTCACACTGCCATACATGCCATGCCGTTGGTCGGGCTCTCCACCTCGCGATGTAACGATTTGAGGAAAGTTCGTGTGAAGCCCGTATTGCATTCCAAGATGCCCTGCGTCTTGCCCGTCGAATCGCAGAACGAGCAACGTGTGATGTGGTTCAGGGACCACGGCGATAGCATTGGCTGTTATAGTCCAATTCTACAGCGATCACTTGTTTCGAAGTGCCAGCTCGGGGCCTCGCAACGCAGGCCCAGAAAGGGGGGTTCGCATCAGGCCAAGCAAAGACACCGTCGACGGCGCGTCGCACAGGTTGCCTAGGTCTCAGATAGTCGAGGGAAGGGTTCGAGATGGGAGACATGGGGCCATTGCCGAGTCTTGAATGTGATGCTCATCACTCAGGGGCAAAGTAATGCCGAGCGTCCCAGTTCGTGTCCCTTACTTGACCCAATATCACCGTGTGCCACAGTAACTTTCCTGCGTAGGGTACTACGATGTACTATTATCTTGGTCAGGACGTGCCGCGTTTCGTGCTCGGAAAAACGAAATAGCCGATGACTAGAAGACTTTCGTCCTTGGCGCGAAGAACCACATGTAGGGCGCGTCATTTTCAACAAACACGACGGCAGTTGGGCGGCTTGGCGGAGATTGGCTCTCATCGTCTGTTCGACCCAACAACGCTCACGGCTGACAGGCTGGCGGCGAACCAGCGACACAACGAAGCGATACCACGGTACACGCATCGTCATTTCGCTCTGCCCAAGCCCCGGACAGTTTGGCAGCCCTCTTCAGCCAATAACCGCAGGCCAACCCAAGACAAATCTTAAACGTGGCCTTGGCTGGCCGGGGGTTTTCTTCTTCCAGGCTAGTCCCTCTTCGTTAGTGGCCGTGTATGATCATCCTGGAACCCAGCCCTGGTCCTTGTCAACGCGCCTCCGTCAGGTCGTTGTTTATCACTCGACCTTGCCGACTTCAATTGCTGATTCAACCGTCTCTCGAGGCGTTGAAGCGGCCTGAGAGAAGGCCAGAGGGCGTCGTTATGTTACACCCATCTGAAGCTTTCCGCGAGCGTCCTGCTGGAATGGAGGATGTCCTGGTGGTGTGTAACCTGATACCACTGAGAATCTAAACGACCCTGGCGGCAGCGTGGGAGCGAACATCAGACGAGATTTCCGTGTGGACAACGGGTGCACAGCCTTGTGCATCGCGACCGTTATAGGTAGCACGGACGAGGTCCGGGAGCCAAACTGGGCCTGTCGTGCAATCATGACAATAAAGTTGATGCAGAAGAAGAATTCTTTGCTGAAGGACTCAACCTGTACCTCTCATCAAGTGGTGCACCATGGACTGGTGTCGAGCTTGTAGGAACACCTGAGATCGTAGAAGCCTGTCATCTCGACAGGCACAAACACAAGCAGGTCGCGTTAATGATGCCCGCTCCGATAGAAACAAGAGTCGTCTCGCCAGCGCCTCAAAGAGATACAAGTACCTGGGCATGGTATATTGTCCGGAACTTGGACGATCCTATTGCTCGTCGAATCATAATGACGCCGCTAGCAGCGAGCTGGCGGACCTGACCTGAGATACAGTGAAGCAAGGGAGACAGCGAGAAACTGTTTGTTTCCCCGGGACGAAATTGTGTGTTTCGTTTGCCATGGAGAAGATAGTCTCGCAGACTGGCGATTTTATACTTGCCTTCTTCCACTTGT